TTTCATAATAAAAAAAAATACACACAACAACACTGACATAATTTATGTTTATTATCTGGCTTTTTCCGTCATCAAATAGCTATCTTTGATCCCAAAACCAAATTAAAGAAAAAAAAAAACCTTTTGTTTTATTTGCTGTATTTCCTCAATGAGAGATTTTTTTATTACGTTTTAAATAAAATATTACTCGTTAAAAGAAAAAACGAAACCCAGACCCTGAGAAAATTCTAAGATAAACAACAATTCAACACTAATTATTATTGAAATACTGTACATTAGTTGTAGAAAAAGAAAAAAGGAAGTCATGATTCACTTTTCAGCCAGGCTGCATAGTACGTTTGCTAATCATTTGATTGACCTTCACTCTTATGGTATGGTTATTATCAATATTAGTTCCCTCCCATCTTTTATGCGTTTGCTTTTCGCTTAGGGAAATTGTAAATAATTGAGTTTTGCGATATTTGGAAAGAATTGATTGGTTTAACATTTCTGTAGGATAATTGAAAAGTGTCTGATTTGCGTCCTTTATTATGGTCTTGTACTTTTGAATCATTTTAGTTCAGTTTTATTGGATTTTTTCTCAAATCATCAAAGAATTGAATAGTCCTTGAAAGAAGGTAAGTATACTTTCTATAAATTAAAATATTCACTAGAATTCCGATTTGTATCGTGTACAGTAAAAATAATTCTAAACAAATGACTGGGGTGACTGAGTCCCCCCGCACTACCATTAATGTTAGTATCGAGTACGCGCCTGCTCCCGGGTTAAAACATTTTGAAGTCTTCTCGCTTTAAATGTTAAAAAGTAACACAATTATTCTTCATCGGAATTTTATATTCTTTTTCATAATTTAACATTAATTCTAAATGCTAATTGTGTGAGGTTTAAAAATTACAGTTCTTTTAAACAGTTATTTACAATTATAGCATTTATCTAAAAAAATCATTTTACATTTTTGTATACAATGTCGTGCACACAGTTTTACTCTCCTTACAGTTCAGCTATTATATCAAGAATAATGTTTTATTTTTTTAAAAAAAGAACTCGTGCGAAGAGTCGGTGTTTCAGCCAGTATACGTTTGATGTATCATTACTGAAGAAGGTATTTTATAAATAATTTCTTATTACTGAATTTTGCCGCTGTAGCCGAGTGGTATAGGTATCGGATCGTGGCTTGCCTTGTCACGAGTTCGAGCCCAGTACCACTAAAGACCCGCCGTGTAGGGCAGCGCGATGCACGTTAAATCTGTTGAGAGCTGAAACGTTTTCCCGTTGGTGTGGTGTGGTAGTTAGGAGAGAGGGGTGCCAGCTCAGGTGTCATCCACGTCACTTGACAATGGTTCAAAATTACGTGGTCCGTCGTCAAAAGCCCTCGTGCAGCTGAACAGTGCGACGTTAATAATCAATCAATCAATCTTATTACTAAATTAAGAACAAGTTTAATAATTATTAGGGACTTCCACTGGCTTGTCTTGTAGAGGAAAGTTTTTCAAAGGAAGGTTTAATATCAGAAATTGACACTTAAAGAGTTATTTTTCTATATTTAGCTGAGATCTATATTTTGTCTTCAAGGCATGCACTGCAGAAAATCCGGTTTGAAAAAGGTAGGATGTTGAAAATGGTAATAGTATACGAAGTGCTTTTGTTTTCAGTACAGATAATTCCTCATCCACCTCTACCCCAAATTCAAAGAGCGATTTATTACAAAATTGCCTTTTAATTTTTCACTGGATGTGAAATCTATGAAGATTTCTTCTTCGGAAGTTGAAGAAATCTTCCCAGAAGGGCTAATTCTGGAGTATCTTGAAATAAATCCCTAATCCACTCGTAACGTGCTACCAAGCTGTCCTCATCCAGAAAATACTTTTTAAAATTCTTTGCCAACATAGCTAAATGATTTTACATGTTTTAAAAACAACTTTCACATGTTGTTCTACAGATTTGTAAGTTTTAACACATATCGAGCTGGGGCTTTTTTTCCATCATTTACTTCAGTAGTGGCAAATCCAAAATTTAAGTATTTTTGAGAAGATCGCCTTGATTTAATTTTCGGAACCATGCTCGTTCGTCTGTGTGCTTGTTGATTCTTTATTATGGTCGAATGTTTGCTTACGACTTAAAAATGTATGTATGATATTGTTTTAATCTACTGCCGTAAATACTTAATTACCGTGAATTACAATTAACGTGGAAATTAAAAAAAATGTACATTCAAGCTAGATTCGGTAGCTATAGGAGTATCGAGTCGACCAAAACTGACGGGAATTGTACGAGGAAAAGCATTTTTTCATGTTTTGCGCAGACGTCCGATAGGTTGCCCAGACTCACGCAAACGTACCCTATAATGCCAGATGTGATGGATATGATAGAGAGCGACATTGACTAGACTATTTTTCTAATGACATTTGTACTTTGAGAAATGAATATGCTGAAGGAAATAAATCTTTAATTAAATACATCATTTTGCGATCTGTTCCAATTTAAAAATTAGAGAAAGAAAAATAACATAATTCTAAGTAATATATATTTTAAGTAATTTTCTTAAAAATATACACTCTGCCCCAAAAAATATATGCACCCAGAAGAAATCAAGCTACAATCACGAAACTCGGCAAGAATGTAGTCTGGTAAGAGATATGCAAATGATTAAAATTTCGAAGCCAATGAGACAAGGCTAAGTGTGCTATGCGCATATTAGTTGCGCAACTGGGAGAGTTTAAAAGCATGAGTACGAGCGCCGTACGGCTATCCAAACGAATCTGATGACTTTGATAGACGATATTGAGACTTAGGATGCCTCTAAGACGTAACCGGCGGCAGTACGAGCAGCTGACGGACTTTGATAGCGAGGGCCGTATAATAGGCCTCAGAGAAGCAGGTTGGTCGAATAGACGTATCGGCCGCCACCTCGGTCGGAGCGATATGGTAGTTGCTCGGTGTTGGCAACAGTGGATCACAGAAGGTAGAGTGTACCGTCGCGGAGGGTCAGGACGTCCCAGGAACACAAATGATCGCGAGGATCGTGCAATCAGAAGAGTGGCCACTTCGGCACCAACAACGTCGCTAGCATCGATTCAACGCCACTTACCTCCTTCCAGACATCCAGTGCCATCAAGAGAAACCATAAGGAGACGACTGACCGAAGTTGGCTTGAGGAGCCGACGTCCGCTAAGACGCTTACCACTGACCCCACATCATAGGCAGTGTCGACTGGATTTTGCCGACCTCAGGCAACTTGGGTGTGACAGACTGGAGACGTGTCATCTTCAGTGATGAATCCCGATTCAGTCTCAGTGCTGATGACCACCGCACACGTGTCTGGAGGCGCACCGGCCAGTCCGATCCGGCATTTATTGTCGAGCGGCATACAGCAATTTCACAAGGTGTGACAGTGTGGGGAGCAATTTCTTGGGACACGATCATCTTTAGTGGTCCTTCAAGGCACTTTGACAGTTCGCAGATACGTGGACGATATTTTAACGCCGATTGTGCTACCCATGCTATCAAGTCGTCCATGTGCCATTTATCAACAGGATAATGCTCGTCCACATACTGCGCGACTCTCCCAACAATGTCTTCAAGGATATGACGTCCTACCATGGCGCCAGGTCACCAGATCTTTCGCCAATAGAGCATGTCTGGACGCGCTGGGAAGGCAACTGCAGCCGTCCCGAGATACAGGAGAATTAACTGCGCAGATGCAAAGACTATGGCAGGATCTTCCACAGGGGGTCATAAGTGATCTAATTGAATCGATGCCACGCCGAATTTCGGCTTGTATAGCTGCCAGAGGTGGCTTTACTACTTACTGATTTTTAACCTTTTGCAAGCTGTAACCGCTTAATAAAATGATATTTTGTTCTGAATTTTTAATCATTTGTTTATTTTCATATACACTACATGCATACCAAATTTCGTGAATGTAGCTCAATTTTTTCTGGGTGCATATATTTTTTTGCGACAGAGTGTATATTACTTAAAAGTTACATATACACAAAATTTAATATACTTATCGTATTAATTTGTACTGTTTATAATTAAGTTCGTATTGTAACTTTAGCGTCTCTCTCTCAAAATGCATTTTTATTGCAGTAAATACATTATTGTTGTACAGGGGGGCGAGACAAAAATTATGATTGAAAATTGGGTCGCCAGTATTGAAAGTTTGAGAAACACTGCTTTCATTGTATGAGTGGTGCACAGAGTATTTTATGACTAATTAATACTAAATTAAGAACAAGTTTAGTAATTATTAGCTACTTCCATGGGCTTGTCTTACACAGCAAAAGTTTTCGAAAGGAGTTTTAAGATAAGAAATTGACCCTCTGAGTTCATTTTCTATATTTAGCTGATATCTATATTTTGTCTTCTAAGCAACCACCGCATTTTGTAATATGTTCCAATTTAAAAATCAGAGAAAGGAAAAATTACTTAGTAATTATCCTATTACTTAACTTTTTTGCTTAAAAGTAACATACAAAATTTAATACTTATGTCATGAATTTGTACTTTAATATTGCATTCAGTGCAGTATTATTGCATTCAGTAGATTATTATGTATAAGGGGGGGGCGCGATAAAAATTGTGATTGAAAAGGGGGGCGCCAGTATTGAAAGTTTGAGAAGCACTGCATTACGTTAAGGCAACTGAATAATTACTAAAGTAAAGGGAAAAAATCCGATTCACCGCGCATCAACTCACACCTGATTAAAAAAGCAATCACCACTACACTGACAGGAGGTGATTCAAACACGTAACCTTCTGACCTGGAGTCAGACGCGCTACCGTTGCGCCACCGAGTCACGATAACGGGTTAATTTCTGAATATTTAATTGACATGATCAGGAATGACATTTAAAATATCTACAGTACTTTGGCATTAAGTAAAAATTCGAATATTAAAAACTTACGTATATTTATCGTCGTGCATTTCATATGTAAAGAGCAAAGTAAGTATACTTGCAAAGGTTTCTGACAGTACTGAAAACTGAGTCATATAGATCTGGATGAGGATGCCCTACATTGGTGTCACTAGTACAAAGCCTTTCTTCTCCTTTTTTGATTTCAATTTTTACATGGGATTCGAGTCCCAGAAACTACGAAATTGCCAAGCGAGGATTGACAAGTTGTTTTCCTAAGTAATGTTTTGCACAAATTCCTTTTCTAAAGCAGAGCAAAAGTAACGTGCACACATTGATCCGGACGTGATGAACACGCAACCTTCTGATCTGGAGTCAGACGCGCTACCGTTGCTCCACCAAGTCATGTCTTCTTCCGACATTCTGCGATTCCCTGCGATATTCTTAAGAGACATATAATTGAAAGGTAATTAAACAATTACCAGTCCTTTTTACCGCCATTGTACCTTTTAAAAGTGCAGGCCAGGTAGAAAATTAGTAAATGAATCGCACCTGTTTTTCACACACTTCCTGTTCTGAAATGTAAGGATTGATATTTTTAGAAGCACTCAATCAACACATTGTTGCTGGAGATGAAACTCTTGAATTTGGTTTTCTGACAAATGACGAGAACGGAACCTAGCCTTAAGTTCTCAATCATTACCATTATTCTCATTTTAGAATTTTGAGCTTAAGTTATCCGACTACGTTGAAAACGTCATTTTCGGTCAAAAATCACATTTTCTTTTTATTTGATATTTTTAAAATGCAAACAATTATCTTTCTAAATCTGCCTTTGATTTGTCTGTGCGATAATTAGAAAAAAGTTACAGGTGTTTAAAATATTATTACAGCGGTGAAATTGAAACCGGAAGAGGTGAAATCGAAACCGGAAGTTGACTGCTTCACATGCTTTTACCCATAATTTTTGCAATTTCAACCCATTATAATTTTAAAAACAATTTCTGGCATTTTTTTTTAAACTATTTTATTGATAGGCAACAATTTCAATCTTTTAATTGGACTTTTGCGATTGGCAACATCTGTTTCTTCTGACCTCATATGTTTTTGTTTTGATTTGAATCTTTCGAATGTTGCTCGCAAATTTCTTCAAAAACCTGATTTTTTGCTTTAATTGCACAATTTTTAATTGTTAATTGTTTCTGAACATTCTGCTTTTGATATTATCAAATTGAATCAAATTAACCTCTTGAAAACGCAACTATGCTGGTGAGACATTTACAAAAACAGTGGAAGTGTTGACTTGTAATGTTCTTGACTTGAAGTGCTCAAATTTGTGATGAACGAAAACTGGGATAAGTAAAGGTATTTTTACAGAACAAAGAATGTTTTAGTGGAACATTAAGAGGTAATAGAATATTTTATTTAAATTGGGAAGTGTGTTTTTCAAGTTTGTGTTTCTCCAATTGTTTTGAGAACAATCTGTACCTGCATGAAGATTACATGTTTGGACTGACTTCTAATGTGACTTGAAAAATGCTCCGATTAAAGTTTTATCGTCCTTTTTCAGCTACTGAAAAGCTAAAAAAGCAAAGTGTTATTAATTTGCAACCTATTTTTTAGAAGGTGAGTGATTGAAAGATGATATTTACCTGTGAAAAAGCTATGTGCTAAGCTGAACTGGCCTTGTATGACAAAAGGAGCATTTAGACTTTGTGAAAGAAAGTCTTGTCTGTGCTGCTACACCAACGGCTAAAGATGCCATGAACGACACTGCTTTTTAAGCGAAAAGCATTATAAAATGTTTCAAAATGTCAGTTGAAGAATGTGGAATATCCGTTGACGGCAGAGACACATGGACATTCATCGCTAAATGTGGTTTCTATAGAAACTTTATACATTGACACTGGGAAATTCTAGATTTAGAAATGTTACCAAAGTTTTTAGAATTCTATAAGTCCAGTCATATATGCGTGTTCCTGCAATCATCTGGGATTTACTTCAAACATAGTGCGTACAAAATCTTTTTATGTTTTTTGCACTACGAAATCTTAAAAATATGTATTTCTTTTGTGATGGTGATTCCAAGGATACTTTTCTGTTAAAGATGTATATGGTGTCAACAATGTCATCATATGAGTGCATAAGATACTTCTAAGAAAGATTGAGTAGTCGGAAAAGAAATTTTTTAAAAGGCGAGAAAAACCTCGGTGAGAAGGAAAAACTTATCAATGTTATGTTTAATAAAATTCTACACTGTTTTAGCACTAACACCAATAACGCCAAAGCTCTGCTTAGTGCTACAATAGCAGTATTTTTTCACTGTTGCTCCAACAGGGAGAAACCCATACATGGGCCGTGCCCGATTTGAGCTGAGAACTGGTGTGACTATCAACGAGGAAACGACACCAGAAAACAATAAACAGAAAAAATTGTATGTATTTCTGTGAAACTGTAAAATATTGTTAAACCTGTGTACACAAAGCAGAGTGATAAGCAGTTATTATAAAATTGCCTCCACGGTAAGACACAAATAAAAATGTATCATTTAACGCCTGTTTGTGGCAAATCATTTTGAAAGAAACTTTTATCGAGCTAAAACCATTTTCTTTGGGTACCCATATATTACCGTCATTATTTTTAAAAAGCTTTCATTGATGTGTTAGGTATTTTGAAAGCATTTGGCATAAATGCAGGGAATTATATACTGCGTGATGAGAGATTTGTTGACATCTTTCGAGTCGGTGACTCGAAACAACATTTTTGCCTTTTATAAAATCAACCAGAAAAAAAAAAAGGGAGGCCCAAAGAAAGAAAAAATTTAACGAACTTCCAAAGAGTGGGAGTGTTACTTATAAATCAGGAGAGTTTTAGTAGTATACTTGTCATATTTTGTTTTGAAATTGATTTTATAAAGTTTAAATGCATTTTTCTCAAACCATTTTTTTGTAAATTTCATGATATTTCAAACATGATATCTAAAAAACTATTAGAGATACTTGTATGAAATTTTACACAAATGTTATTATTGCTATTATCTAGAGAATGACCTACAAGCTAAGAAATTGAACAATTTTTAGTTATTTTATAGTTGTATTTCTTTCTGAAAGTTACGATAATTTGATTGAATTTCCTAGTTCGCAAGCTCGACTGGCCATATCTTTTGATTCAAAAGAAGTAATTTAGCACTTGTAGGTCATTCTCTAGAAATGTGTTTTAAAAATGTATTGCAGCAATATTTTATGGAAAATATAAAATATTTTAAAAAATAGAGAGTTTGAAAAAATTCCAAAATTTGATTAAAATTTCTTTAAAAATTTTAATTTTTGCAAATTTTTATGTACATATATTATTTCTAACTGTACTTTTTATTATTGTGTATAAAAGTGAAACTGAAAATGTAAAAATATTAGAGATTTTTTGAAAACTTAAAAAAAAAGTCTCCGAACGTAGTCGGGGATACCTTAAACAAATTGAATGGGTTTTAATACACCGGATGCAAATTTCTTATTGGAACCCTAATGATACGCACTCTATATTAGATAAACAAAAAAAAAATATCGGAATTTTAGCTTAGAAGATTATTGTTTGATTAATAGTGTAAATCCATACTCTTTCTTAAGACGAAAAAAAAAACAATCAAAAAATTTGTTTGACCCGGACGTGATTTGAACACGCAGCCTTCTGAAATAGAGTCAGACGCGCTACCGTTGCGCCACCGAGTCACACGGCCTGGTTCGTTGTGGAAATATTATACTATGCAAAGTAGTATTAAAAATGGAAATTTTACGCAAGAAAAAATATCTTAAAGTGTGAAACTTTGTGAGAATAGTCTGTTCAAGGTGTAAGACGTAAAAGCCATAAAAATATTATCTTAATTCGCGAAATGTAAGAAATGTTGGAGGATGAAATAACCAGACAAAACTTGCTTCGTCGTGTACATGTGGACTAATTTATTAAAATGGTCCCTTAATACTTACAATGGAACAAAAAACAAATACACATGAATGCCAACAAGTTCTACCAATATGAGTATCTAAATTTTAAATTTATTTCCCGGACTGTCTAATTCAAGGAGCGAACTGTAAAAGTCAATATGGAGCCATTTATTTACATGGCTTTCAGGGATATTTTCGGAAAAGGTTTGTTGTAAACTGCCTAATTTCTCAAGTCTAAACTTGTCTCGTCTTGAGTGAGTGAGTGAATGTTTGGTTCTATGGCGCAAGAGCCAAATTTGGCTATACTGCGCCACACGTTACATGTCTCGTCTTATCCATCGTCCCACAAATGATTGTTTCTATTGAAGCTCTGCCCACACGTTGAAAGCAAAAGCAGAAAAGTTTTCTTATGCTCTTACACAGTGACGGACTAAGCAAACGTAGGTCGATGGGGGAATTCTTAAAAAAAATATTAGAAATATGCATTACACTGCTGTTGGATTTTTGTCGCGTAATACTTGTTGCATTCTTGCATGGATACTGTCATCTTCAGGGACATACGAAAAGCACATCATTTAATTCTTGATATTTTCTACAATAGTCCTGTGCAAGATTTAAGAATATAACAAAGCAAACCACTTCACATTCGGACGTGGTGGAATCAGACCATTTGCCCATTTAGATTAAAGGCAGTAATATAGAGCCTAGGCGATGCGAAATATGTCACATTCTGAGAAAATTCGTTCATTACGTCAGTGTTTCTCAAAGTGTGGGGCGCGCCCCCCTGGGGGGGCGCGAGCGTATCTAAAATTTAAAGATTTTAAAAAAAAAAATAACCGGAAAGAGAAGTAAAACAAAATGCTTTCTTTCATAATAAAAAAAAATACACACAACAACACTGACATAATTTATGTTTATTATCTGGCTTTTTTCCGTCATCAAATAGCTATCTTTGATCCCAAAACCAAATTAAAGAAAAAAAAACCTTTTTGTTTTATTTGCTGTA